AGAGACTACAGTCAGTTTGTAAGAGGGAGAGTATTCGAATCCACTGTAACCAATCTACATCACGGAGACGGCCCCTGGCCGCTGATTGAGTGTATCGTCAAGTATTTGTCATCTATAAGAATCACGTATCACTTTGTGCAGTCTTTGTGTGTACAGGAATATTCGTATGTCTAGATCAAACTATTTCCTGTCATGGCAGCCATGTTGTTTCTCACCCTTTCCCCTGTTCCCGTTTGGATTCGTCATAGATTACACCCCTTGGCCTATTATTAAATTATCTCCCCTTTTCGTTGTGCATCAATGAATATCTCTCTCTCTCTCTCTCTGTCTGTCTCTGTCTCTCTCTCTCTCTCTCTCTCTCTCTCTCTCTCTCTCTCTCTCTCTCTCTCTCTCTCTCTTTCTCTCTCTATCTCTCGTCTCTTATTCACTTCTTAACATTCTCCCAATCCCTCACACGCATACACACACACACATACACACATTCATACACACTCACTCAATCACTCACTCACTCACTCACTCACTCTTTCTCTCTTACCTCTCTTTTCGTTGTGCATCAATGAATATCTCTCTCATAATCTCTCTCGTCTCTCATTCACTTCTGATCATTCTCTTAATCCCTCACACGCATACACACACACACATATTCATACACTCTCATTTACTCACTCACTTACTGGCTCTTTCTCTCTTGCCTCTCTTTTCGTTGTGTATCAACGAACATCTCTTGTCTCTCAATAACTTTCGATCATTCTCTAAATCCCTCACATGCACACACATTCATACACACTCAATCTTACTCTCTCTCTCTCTCTCTCTCTCTCTCTCTCTCTCTCTCTCTCTCACTTCATCTTTCTCTTTCACTTGTTCTCTTATCTATACGTGTCTGCCTCTGGCTTCCTTTCTGTTTAGTTCTCTGAAGAGAGTTGTACTCTCTATAGAGTGTCCATTATAGTAGCACTGAAAAAAAAAAATCATGAATTCAAAAGTGTGCTGGTTCTGCGTACCCGTCAGTACCACCAGTAGAAAGCCGGGTATATTTCTCTGTCTCATGTTCAGTCTGTTTCAAATTCTAGTCGGCGTCTGTGGTAGCATAGACGTCATGAGCACGCTTCATAATACCGGGTTACTGGGTTCTATCCTAGCTGCGGCGATTCGGCAGCATACCGGCTTGGGTTGTTTGCGACAGTGCTATCGAGAGTCAAGCCTTTAGAAAGCAATGGCAAACTAATGAACATAGAAGAAGCTTTTTATAAAAACTACAAACAGTCAAAACATGCTGTGGTAGGTTTTGCAACGTCCTGTTAAGGATACCCAAGCCCGGCTCGTTGGCTAAACCTGACTTCGCGACGACCGGGTGACGAGCTCCTTGTGGTCCGGGTTCACGCAAGGGGGTAGGCAGAAAAGCCATATTTCTCCCAGATTTACGGTAACAATCACGGAATCAAGGCCGAAGTGTTGTGATATTCATAGTACCCAGCCTACGGGTTAAAAAATCATTGTTTCTAGATATAAAAAAAAAAAAAAAAGTACCCAACTAACGTTTTTTTAAAAACATATTCTTATTCTTCTTTGCGTTTGGTTTCGTATGCTCAGGTCAGACCATCAGGTGGGTTGCCTCTATGAAATCGCACGTGAGCTGCAAGTCCTTCATGGTTCACCATAGCTTGATCTGCACACTTTGCTCTTGGGGCCAGGTTTCTTATCAAAGTTGTAGCTAAAGTGGGCAGGTCTAAAGAATGCGCTCAGATGTGTGCGGTCCTGTCTGGCATGTATTTTGTGGGGACTTATTATTTTATGCATGTGGTAGTTGAGCCTGCAGTGTCCTGTTCCTGGACGTAGACGCAAAATTGTTGTATGTTTTTCTTTCTTTTGAGTCTGCTGATCGGGTCTTGTGGACTTTTACTGTTGGTTAGTTCTCTCCACAATTCCTCGTATTTTCCCCGGATAAATGTTTTAATTTCTGCTAATGACAATGAATGGGTGTGTTGTTTTTCATTTGTTCCATTTTTTGCAAGGCTGTCCGCTAGCTCATTTCCTGGTGTGCTGCAGTGAGTTGGGATCCAATGGAGAACGTGCTTATCATTCTGCATTTGCTTCCGCGCGTGCGAACATGTGTGTGTTATTGTCTCGCCACCCTTTCACCACAAGACATCTAATGATACAAACTGTCTTGTTTCATGTACATATACTTGATGCTATATACATATTTTGTGCTACACATGTACTTTTTAACTCATGCCTACACGCATGTTATTCACTGGCGCCAGTACAAAGCAAACGAGGGCAGAGAACAGGAGAGTAGACGTCCAGGGCAGTGTTCTTCAACCAGTAGCTTACGGCTCATTGGTGGACCGCGGAAAAGTCTAGATGGGCCGTCAAAAATATCATCCTAGTCATGTAACAAAGTGTGGTAAGTAGTTTTTCTCTTCCAAGATTGCACTCTATAGGATTACCACCTCAAGGAGGAGAATCCAACAGGTACAAATCCTGGAAACTTGTTGAACCTCATAAAACCTCATATGGCACCCGATGGTAAATTAGCCTGTAGTCCAGACTGTAGTCCACCCTATAGTCCAGCCTATAGTCCACCCTGTAGTCCAGCCTATAGTCCACCCTGTAGTCCAGCCTATAGTCCACCCTGTAGTTCAGTCTATAGTCCACCCTGTAGTCCAGCCTATAGTCCACCCTGTAGTCCAGTCTATAGTCCGGTCTGTAGTTCAGACTGTAGTCCAGCCTATAGTCCACCCTGTAGTCCAGCCTATAGTCCACCCTGTAGTCCAGCCTATAGTCCGGTCTGTAGTTCAGCCTGCAGTAGAGCCTGTAGTCCAGTCTGTAGTCCAGCCTGTAGTCCAGCCTGTAGTCCGGTTTGTAGTCCGGTCTGTAGTCTGGTCTGTAGTCTAGCCTGTAGTCTAGCCTGTAGTTCAGCCTGTAGTCTAGCCTGTAGTTCAGCCTGTAGTCTAGCCTGTAGTGCAGCCTGTAGTCTAGCCTGTAGTGCAGCCTGTAGTCTAGCCTGTAGTTCAGCCTGTATCTAGTCTGTAGTTCAGCCTGTATCTAGCCTGTAGTTCAGCCTGTATCTAGCCTGTAGTTCAGCCTGTATCTAGCCTGTAGTTCAGCCTGTAGTCTAGCCTGTAGTGCAGCCTGTATCTAGTCTATAGTTCAGCCTGTAGTCTAGCCTGTAGTGCAGCCTGTATCTAGTCTATAGTTCAGCCTGTATCTAGTCTATAGTTCAGCCTGTAGTCTAGCCTGTAGTGCAGCCTGTAGTCTAGCCTGTAGTGCAGCCTGTATCTAGTCTATAGTTCAGCCTGTATCTAGTCTATAGTTCAGCCTGTAGTCTAGCCTGTAGTGCAGCCTGTATCTAGTCTATAGTTCAGCCTGTATCTAGTCTATAGTTCAGCCTGTATCTAGCCTGTAGTTCAGCCTGTAGTCTAGCCTGTAGTGCAGCCTGTATCTAGTCTATAGTTCAGCCTGTAGTCTAGCCTGTAGTGCAGCCTGTATCTAGTCTATAGTTCAGCCTGTATCTAGTCTATAGTTCAGCCTGTAGTCTAGCCTGTAGTCTAGCCTGTAGTTCAGCCTGTAGTCTAGCCTGTAGTTCAGCCTGTAGTCTAGCCTGTAGTTCAGCCTGTAGTCTAGCCTGTAGTCTAGCCTGTAGTCTAGCCTGTAGTTCAGCCTGTAGTCTAGCCTGTAGTGCAGCCTGTAGTCTAGCCTGTAGTGCAGCCTGTAGTCTAGCCTGTAGTGCAGCCTGTAGTCTAGCCTGTAGTTCAGCCTGTAGTCTAGCCTGTAGTGCAGCCTGTAGTCTAGCCTGTAGTGCAGCCTGTAGTCTAGCCTGTAGTGCAGCCTGTAGTCTAGCCTGTAGTGCAGCCTGTAGTCTAGCCTGTAGTGCAGCCTGTAGTCTAGCCTGTAGTGCAGCCTGTAGTCTAGCCTGTAGTGCAGCCTGTAGTCTAGCCTGTAGTGCAGCCTGTAGTCTAGCCTGTAGTGCAGCCTGTAGTCTAGCCTGTAGTTCAGCCTGTAGTCTTGCCTGTAGTGCAGCCTGTAGTCTAGCCTGTAGTTCAGCCTGTAGTCTAGCCTGTAGTTCAGCCTGTAGTCTAGCCTGTAGTGCAGCCTGTAGTCTAGCCTGTAGTGCAGCCTGTAGTCTAGCCTGTAGTGCAGCCTGTAGTCTAGCCTGTAGTGCAGCCTATAACTGGAAGATCTGAATTTTCACAAATGATATTGTTCTGTTAATTAAAAAAACAAGGACATGCACACAAAATAGACGCTCTGTCGTCTGCAGCAACAACAATAGGACTACAAATAATTTATGAGAAAATATTAAAGATACTAACAACAGATCAAGACGATGTCATACAAGAGAACAAACCATTCAAAGTATTGAACAAATTTCATCGATCTGTGTAGCAACTTTGACCCTCAGTCTATAGTCCACCCTGTAGTCCAGCCTATAGTCCACCCGGTAGTCCAGCCTATAGTCCACCCTGTAGTCCAGCCTATAGTCCACCCTGTAGTTCAGTCTATAGTCCACCCTGTAGTCCAGCCTATAGTCCACCCTGTAGTCCAGTCTATAGTCCGGTCTGTAGTTTAGCCTGTAGTCGAGTCTGTAGTCCGGTCTGTAGTCCGGTCAGTAGTTCAGCCTGTAGTCTAGCCTATAGTCCAGCCTGTAGTCCAGCCTGTAGTCCGGTTTGTAGTCCGGTCTGTAGTTCAGCCTGTAGTCCGGTTTGTAGTCCGGTTTGTAGTCCGGTCTGTAGTCCAGCCTGTAGTCCGGTCTGTATTCCAGTCTGTAGTCCAGTCTGTAGTTCGGTCTGTAGTTCGGTCTGTAGTCCGGTCTGTAGTTCACCGAGTAGTCCACCCTTTAGTCTGGTCTGTTGTCCAGCCTGTAGTTCGGTCTGTAGTTCAACCTGTAGTCCGGTCTGTAATTCAGCCTGTAGTCCGGTCTGTAGTTCAGCCTGTAGTCCAGCCTGTAGTTTACCAAGTAGTCCACCCTTTAGTCTGGTCTGTAGTCAAGCCTGTAGTTCGGTCTGTAGTTCAACCTGTAGTCCGGTCTGTAGTTCTGCCTGTAGTTCGGTCTGTAGTTCAGCCTGTAGTCCGGTCTGTAGTTCAGCCTGTAGTCCGGTCTGTAGTTCAACCTGTAGTCCGGTCTGTAGTTTAGCCTGTAGTCCGGTCTGTAGTTTAGCCTGTAGTCCGGTCTGTAGTTCAGCCTGTAGTTCGGTCTGTAGTTCAGCCTGTAGTTCGGTCTGTAGTTCAGCCTGTAGTCCGGTCTGTAGTTCACCAAGTAGTCCACCCTTTAGTCCGGTCTGTAGTTCAGCCTGTAGTCTAGCCTGTAGTGCAGCCTATAGTCTAGCCTGTAGTTCAGCCTGTAGTCTAGTCTGTAGTTCAGCCTGTAGTCTAGTCTGTAGTTCAGCCTGTAGTCTAGCCTGTAGTGCAGCCTATAGTCTAGTCTGTAGTTCAGCCTGTAGTCTAGCCTGTAGTGCAGCCTATAGTCTAGCCTGTAGTGCAGCCTGTAGTCTAGCCTGTAGTGCAGCCTGTAGTCTAGCCTGTAGTGCAGCCTATAGTCTAGCCTGTAGTGCAGCCTGTAGTTCAGCCTGTAGTCTAGCCTGTAGTCTAGCCTGTAGTTCAGCCTGTAGTCTAGCCTGTAGTTCAGCCTGTAGTCTAGCCTGTAGTTCAGCCTGTAGTCTAGCCTGTAGTTCAGCCTGTAGTCTAGCCTGTAGTGCAGCCTGTAGTCTAGCCTGTAGTTCAGCCTGTAGTCTAGCCTGTAGTTCAGCCTGTAGTCCGGTCTGTAGTTCAGCCTGTAGTCTAGCCTGTAGTGCAGCCTATAACTGGAAGATCTGAATTTTCACAAATGATATTGTTCTGTTAATTAAAATAACAAGGACATGCACACAAAATAGACGCTCTGTCGTCTGCAGCAACAACAATAGGACTACAAATAATTTATGAGAAAATATTAAAGATACTAACAACAGATCAAGACGATGTCATACAAGAGAACAAACCATTCAAAGTATTGAACAAATTTCATCGATCTGTGTAGCAACTTTGACCCTCAGTGAGATACAGAGAAGGAAATTACGATACGTACTGGCAAAGCAACAACTTTCTTTAAAAGTCTCAAGACAATATGAAGCTCTAAGTTATACAGCTTTAAGATCAAACTAAGAATCTTTAGTTCTAACGGTATTACAATTCTAACACTTGCCAGCAAAAGTTAGAGGACCACCAAAGTTAAATGCAGTTGAATATCAAAGTCAGAGAGAAATCATGAACGTAAAAGTTGGATGAATTTTTCTTTTTAAAGTGAGTAGATCAGAGAAATGTCCGGACAAATATCTATATCCACTGCAACAAGAAAAAAAAAAAAAAAAAAAGACCGAGATATACTGGACACACTCTGATACGAAATGAACAAAGAATGACAAAACAAGCACTTAAATGGGAAACAAACGGTCTTAGAAAAAGAGGACGTCTAAAGGAAACATTCGGAAGAACATTATTACGAGAAGCTAAAAACGCTGGGCTTAACTACTTGTCAGAAATCTAGTTGCATGCAGTAGAGCGGAGTGGAGAAATTGAATACGAGCCTCGTTTGACGTCTAACGGCACACAAAGGATGATGATGACGATGATGATACGACAAGTAAATAAAATCACATTTTTGAAATTACATGGTGTGTATTAAAAATATTTAGGCGGTAATGTAGATAAAGATGGAGGAACTGATAGAGATATTAAAATAAGAATACAAAAGGCAAGAGGGGCTTTCGTAGCACTAGGGAATTTGTGGAGGTCAAAAGAAATTAAAAGAAATACTAAACTAAAAATTTGTAATTCTAATGTCGAATCAGTACTTTTGTATGGGGCAGAAACATAGAGAACAACCAAGGCAATTACTAATAAATTACAGACATTCATTAACTGGTGCCTGCGCAGAATATAGGGAATTAAATGGTATGATAGAATAACTAATGTAGAAACTTTGGGAGAGAACTAAACAGGCTCCAGTGGACCAAGATGAGGAAAAGACGCTGGCGTTGGATAGGACACACACTGAGACAACAGGAGAACAGCATAACTAAAATGTCTTTGCATTGGAACCCACAGGGGCATAGGAATAAAGGAAGGCCAAAAAACACATGGAGAAGAGAACTGGAGAATGAAGTTAGAAAGATGGGGAGGACATGGGGAGAGCTCCATGCAACGGCGAAGGCAAGAACGACTTGGCGTGAGTTGGTTGAGGGCCTATGCTCCATTGGGGGATAGAAAGGTAGAAGAAGAAGAAGAAGAAAAAAAACATAAAAATAAAATTGTATACAATAATTGAAGAAAACAAAAAAGGGAGCGGGGTTGTATTTTATTTCTTGTCTTCTTCTTCATATAGTGCCTGCCGTGTGGCGTTGGTAGTTGTACCTAGCCGCAACCTTCTGTCTCATGTAGTTTACGTCAACTCTGACACAAATGATTCACCATGTTGTCAAACTGTCCAACATTTCTCTCTCGGTCTCCTCCTGCCTTTCTCGCCTTCCAACTGTCCCACTGTCACGATGTACTCCAGTATTCTCCTTTCCACGACATGACCAAAGGATGTAGATTGTCTCCCCCTGATGCGGTCAATCAGTTCTGTTCGTGACTTGAGTTTCTTTCAAGACGTCTTCATTACTCTTTTTGTCTGGCCAGGATATTTTCATAATTCCCCCGTGTGGGTTCCGGGGCCCTACTAAGGGAAAAACAACAATAGACCCACTGCCTACCTAAAAGCATGTCGTAAGAGTCGACTAATTGGGAGCTTACTTCAAAGTCGGAGTGCATTTGCCTGAGAGGCAAGGAACCAACAGTCTGCATACAGATCTGGCAAACGGATGCACGCGCAACACTCAGGTTCTGGAACAGGACTTTAGTCCAAAAGTGGACGAACAACCGGAACTTTCCGCCGGAGTTCACAGCCGGTGAACGCGAAGAAGAAGAAGAATTTTCATAATTCGTCTATAAAAACTAGTGTACTAGGGTAGATTGTCTCAATAAGACCCAAGTCTTTGTATGAAATGCAGTCTCTACTAGCTTTGCGAAGAAAGTTCAGACTTATTTTGATTTCTCTGCTGATACTGCCTCCCCCACCTCCTTTACGGTGCCGCCCGATGCGGCCTCATCTCTGTATTATAGCACACATGGCCCGGCCCGGATAAAAATCACAACTCTGCAGCTTAACGATAATTTTTAGCAAATCGACCAAATATCCGTGACTCACTTCCGTATATTAGGATAGGAAGATTTATATAGCCGTTAAAAACTTTCTTTGTGTCTCTTCTTTGTTTTACTTTTAGTGTAAGATTTGGTGGAAACTCCTGGCTTTTCGTCCATGTGAACTCTGGCTTTGTGCCAGGACCAGAGTTTTGCGTGTACACCCGTTTCACTGGTTAATTTGTGTGCAGTTGGTTGTCCCTTGTCACTGGGGCAGATGTATTCCGACTTAGAAGGAAGTTCACCCCCCCCCCCCCCCCTTTTTCCCCTCTCCAGTTAGTCGACTCCTACGAAATGCTCGTTGGAGAGGCAGTGGCTATATACTTGTTTTATCCCAAATGGGGCCCCGAATGCCACGTGGGGATCTATCTCGTCTCAACTGACATAGAATGTTTGCCTAGAATATTCTTCATAATGTAAAAATGCTGCCTTTTGACTCCTTTTAGCACCCTTAGAAATGTAAAAATTTTTGGAAAAGGTGTCGTAGCCCCCTAAGTTTGAGCACAGCTGTGAGTAGGTATGGGATGATACTGGAGCGGTGAGTGAAAGAAGAGCCATGCATGAACCAGGAGGAAAGGTCAGAATACAGGAGAAAATACTATGTGTGGAAGGAAGGGAGGGGAAGACAGTTTGAGGCAAGCTGGCCTGATTGAAGCCAGGCATTCGGCAAGTTTCGGCTCCTGTAGACACGCGCATATCTTCAGAAGTTTCCCCCCACCCCACTTGTAGATGAGCTTTACAGATTTCCTGTGACTCCGCGATTGGTCCAAGAAGTTCTTCTCCTCGTTCTGCGATTGGAGCAGAACCCGGGGGGAATCGTTCATGAGCACGTGAGAGATCCTAGAAGCGGTAACACGTTCGGAAGCTGCCTTCAGGCCGGTAAAACATCTACCTTAGCTTTTTTTTAAAATAATATTCTCTCAACTTTTAACATTTCTCTGCATATGTTTCTGTTAGTTCCTTCTTTGTTTTCTAACATTCCATTGTTTCTCTCACTTTGTCCAGTTTGTCTGTGTTAGGTAGTTTCTGATGTCTTCAAACTTTCCTACACCGTCTTGTTCAGCTCGCTACATTTCCCATTCTTCTTCCTACATCATTCTTTTAACTATACACATATCATCTTTCCCTGACTGACTCACCCTTTCTGAGTCTATGCATTTCCTCTTCTAAGACTGCACCGTTCTCTTTGAACTAATACATTTGCATTCTTTCTTACACCATACACTTTGAGAATATATTATTCCTTGTGATTTTTTAAAAATCAAGTGACACTGCATATTTCAGTTGAGTTTTAGCGATTGCAGTTATGTTTATTAAATTCCGGACGCCCGTTGTAGATTAGGGAAAGGCAGACTACCATATATGGGCCTTGTGAAATCATTCAGTCAATCAGCATGCCCTTTATAGAACGTCGCTCTCTTAACGACGCCTGAATTTTCTATGTCTTTAGCCGAGTCTCCAGTTCTGTGTAGCTTTCAAAGTCAATGCGTCTTCAATGTTCGGTATCCACACTCGAGGAGGTTCGTCTCTGCTTCGTTTTTCCCCCGGAAACCGCAGCCTCTGTCGCTGTTCTCTTTAGACCATCATACGCGTGACATGTACACAGTACCTCACCTTTCGAGAGAGGATGCTGTTTACAAGCAAGTTCTCCTTGATTTTCAGGTCTTGCAGGATATGGACGTTTTTGTTCCTCTTGGTCCACAGCATTTGAAGTAAATTCAAAAACTCAGATTCAAAGACTGTTTCAAAGACTGAAAACAAATGGATTCAGATCCATAAATTGCCATGGAAAAGATGCATAATTTCAGATTAATTACTTTCACTTGCTTACATGTGCTGTGGGATATGTTCTTCGTGCTATTTAATTTCTGCATTGCTAAAGAAAGTCCCATTATGAAATAGCCATACAATTTTATGTTAGTTAGATCATCATGACTAAATAGCCAAAAAGTGCTTCGGATCTCCATCTCACTATATCTTTCTGTGTGGCACGGCCAATAACGCCAGTTCTGTAATCGTTAATCATTGTTTTCTTTGCTCTCACCATTGTGCCCTTGTCTGGTCCCACCCATTTACACTTG